GCATTACGTAAATCATTAGACTGATGTTGATGCGGTGGATCTCACTGAGAGTCCATCGTCTAAAGAGCCTCCCCCCGCGGGGGCTGGGGGGGCGGCCCAGGCTGTTGAGCCTACCACGCAGGTTGCCGATGTGAGTGTTGTACGTCCTTATATGTTTCTTCTGTGTTAGACTTGCTTGGTTTATTGTGGTGATATGGGTTTTCTTGTAGGCCGGGGTGGCCGTCACTGAGGTAGGAGTATGGGCGACTGAGCAAGTTGCTCGAGTTGCCGAGGTGGTGAGTATTGTTTCTTCGGCTTTTCGTTGCCTTTTATTATGCTTTCTTGTTTTTTGATCTTGGGTCATTTTTCACAGGCAGGAAATGCTGCTGGGATGGCGATTTCCAGCGCGGGGCCAGTTGTTTCCGCTGTCGACGAGGTGGTCCCATCCACTGAGTTGGCCCCCCATGCCGCTGGGGTAAGCAGTGTTTACTTGGTTTTGTGATTCCTCGTATGTCACCTTGTTTATTTTCTGACATGGGGTTGGTTTTCGCAGGCGAGGTCGGAGGTTCCTATTGTGGACTCCCTGGATGCCGAGCAGGGAACGCGAGTTGCCGCCTCTGTTGAGGCTCGCGGAGGGGGTCCGAGTTGTGAGGCTCCCCCGTCCACTGCTGAAGCCTCGGCGCCACCTTCGGGCTCGTCACAGGGGGCTTCCGGAGCCGATACTTGGCCCATCGCTTCGGGAAGGGCCTTTCGAAGGTGAGGCTGGACCACGTGAGTGCCTCAGCTAACATGGACTCACTGTGGAGTTCGGGGGTGACCGCTGATAAGTTCTTCCCTCAGGGTTCGTTGAGCTCCGAGAACTAGGGGCTGATAGAAGAGGTCGGCCCTGAGGATAGTTTTGATACTGCTCAGGTCCTACTGCAAAGGACTATGGGTATTCTAGGCCACTGGAAACTGAGGTGGGCCTAGCAGCAGGAGGACTTGGCCAAGCAGCATGAGGAGCTGGCCAAGCAACAAGAGGAGCTGGCCAAGCTGAGGGGTCAGCTTCAACCTTGGAAGGAGGCGAATAAAATTATGAGGGAGGAGAACAAGGTTCTCAGCGCTGTCGTTGATGAGGCGAAGCGGCGGGAGGTCGAGCTCCGATCTGCACGGGGCGACCTTGCGAGGGCACAGAAGTCGCTCGAGATCGCCTTGCGGTCTAACGAGACTTATGCCTCTCAGTTAGGGGAGCTGCAGGAGCTCGTCGCCTTCTCTCGAGGTCGCGTTCGCTCCTTAGAAGATGAGGTAACGTCTTCTCGTGGCCAGGTGCGGGCTCTAGAAGATGTTGTGACCTCCCTCAAAGGGGAGTTGGCGACAGCGGCTGAGGAGCGCCTTCGCAACGAGGTCGTTCTTGGTGGCTGGGAAGACGAGATCCCTTCCTTGAGGGCGGAGCTGGCGGAAATGACGGCGGAGAAAGCGGCCGTGGAAGGGAGGCTCGCGGAGGTCGAGCGCTCCATGGTGGTGGAGCACAAAAGGGGCTTTCAGAAGGCCGCTCGCTAGGCGCGGCTCCTCGCTCTTGGGTTTGATTTCTCTTCCATGCATGTGGAGAAAGTCATCCGCTTTGGGAAGCTTGTCAAGGAAGACGACATCGAGGACAGCTCCAGCGAGAATGCCTCTGCGTAGGTCAATTTTGTGATAGCTTAGTTTAATTTTCCGCTTGTTTCAATTTTCTGATTTGAACTCAAGTGTTGGACTCCGGGAACTTTGCCCGTATATGTAGATATTTTATGTTGCCCTTATGTGTTTTGCATTTGATTTTTGCTGCTTTGCGCGTTTTTGGACACGTTGGGTGTTTGTTCTGCGCTTTTATATGTGGCGGTACTTTGCTTTGAGTTGCCTATGTTGAGATAAGTTGTCGACCTCGGCTTTTTGTTAGGTGTATTTTTCATGAAGGTCCGACTTTGATCTTTATTTACTAGTGCCGAGGTTCGAATTCGATCTTTTAAGTTATCAGTGCCGAGGTTCAGATTTTACCATAAATCGAAGTAGAGTGAATTATGCTAAGGTTCGAATTTGACCTTGTGTTCTTGTTATGTTGTGAGGGCATAAATCGAAGTAGAGTAAGTTATGCTAAGGTTCGAATTGGATCTTGGATAAGCGGTTCGCATCCGACCTTAAGTTTAGGGTCATGTGTATTTTGCCAAGGTAAAAATTCGACTTCAGGTATGCGGCTCATATTTGGCCTTTAGCGGGAGCGTCGAGGTTCGTATTCGACCCCGGAAAGTCAAGGTTCGTACTCGACCTCAAATTTGAGATAGATTATTTAATTAAGGTTCGAACTCGACCTTTAACGGAAGCGTCGAGGTTCGTATTCGACCTCGGAGAGTCGAGGTTCGTACTCGACCTCAAATTTGAGATAGATTATTTAACTAAGGTTCGAACTCGACCTTTAACGGGAGCGTCGAGGTTCGTATTCAACCTTGGGTGTAGGCATTTGCGCACTTAGAGTTCGTTTTCGACCTTTAGATAAACAAGAGATTAAGAATATGAGATGAGCGAAAGGAGTAATATTATTTATGGTGTTTGTGTGCCTCGTTAAAAACCCTCTCAGTCAAAGGCTAAGGCGGGAAAAGAGTGCACAAATTTGTTCATACTGAAAGATAAAAAAGACTTGAAAACTTAAGGAGCTATGGTGGGGGAATTTCCCTCGCTTTGCTTGCTCGTCGAGGAGATCTTCAGGCTTTCAGCGTAGCATTGCCGAGCTGTTTTCTGATTAGCTTTGATAGAGATGATTTTACCGTCCTTGCTCGGGAATTTCATGGTGAGGTGTGGGGTTGACACTACTGCCCCGAGTTGATTCAAGGTTGGCCTCCCGATGATGATGTTGTAGGAAGTGTTGGGTTCCACGAGGAGGTACCGGACCATGACCCGCCGTGTATCCGGTGGCGTTCCGAAAGTCGTCAGCAAGTCTACGTACCCCCGAGTGTGAACTTGCTCTCCTGCGAAGCCGACTAGGGGTTCCATGTGAGGTTGAATGAGAGAGTGGGGAACGTCTAGCTTGAGGAACGTAGGCCAATACAGGACGTCGGCTGAGCTTCCCTGGTCAATGAGTGTTTTCTGTACTTTCCAGTTGGCTATTTCCACAACGATGACCATGGGGTCATCTTGGTTAGGGCTGACACCGGCGTAGTCTTCGTCGGAGAAGGAGATCGGCGGTGAGCTTTGGTGGAGGGCTGGGGTGGTAGAATGGACGCAGTTGATGCTCCGCAGGTGTCTTCTTCAAGCCGAGCTGCTGGCGCCCCCTCCAGCAAAGCCACTTGCTATTGTGTTGATTACTCCCTGCAAGGGGGACGACTCTGTCTCTTGGCTTATCTCGGCTTATATTGTGCCGCCAGCATTTTGCTGGGAGCCCGGGTGTGACTCAGTGCGAGCTCCTGAACCTCGACCTCTGCCGCGTCCTCGACCTCCATAGCCGCCTCTATTACCCTGCTGTCGCTGGATGTAGTGGTTGAGGTGGCCCGCTTGAATGAGCTCCTCGATGCGATCCCGAAGTGTGCGACATTCTTCCGTGGTGTGACCATGGTTCCTGTGGTACCGGCAGTGCTTAGACTTGTCGACGCTGTTGGGAGTGTGACCCGGCGGGGGGAGGGCGAGAAGATTATTGTTGCTGGCTTCTTCTAGGATGTGTACCCTAGGCGCGTTCAGGGGAGTGTAGAAGTCGTATCTCCCCCCTCTGTTTGCCTTAGTCGACTTCTTGAATTGGCTGTCGTTGTTGACTTTGATTTTATCCTTATGCCCTTGTTCTAATTTTACTGGGGCTTTCCCGCGAATCTGGTCGCGGAAGGCGGGGTGCTCCCCCCTCTGGGGGTATCCCCCCGCGCGGGTGCAGAGCTCGTCCATGTCGCAGGGGGGTGGGGTCTCGACAGAGGCTGTAGACAAAGGGGCCAGTCTTGAGGGCCATGAGCATGGAGTGTAGGGCGACTTCGGGGTTTAAGTTCCGGATCCTCACCGAGATGCTGGAGAAGCGCTCCATGAAGGTTCGCAGAGGTTCGTCATCATTTTGCTTGAGGTTGGCCAAAGCAGTGGAGGTTGTGTGGTGAGGTCGGCTGGTGGTGTATTGTGCCGTAAACTGCCATATTAAGGTGCTGAAGCTGTCAATGGACTCTGCGGGTAACTGGGTGTACCAGTGGAGTGCGACTCCTTTGAGCGAGGTAGGAAAAACCCTACACAGGATAGCATCATTGTTAGTATAGAGGTTTACCTGGGTCGTGTACAGGTCAATGTGCTCATCGGGGTCTATTGTGCCGTCATAGCGGTCGAGATGGAGAGGCTTCCATCCACGGGGGAGTGGGGTCTCCATGATGTCGTCCACAAAAGGATGTCGGCGGAAGGTTTCGTGGCCTTCCGTGGCCTTCCGTGGCACGTGAGGGTGTTCTGCTGACATCTGGGCCTGGCTTGTGCGTCGATGCATGAGATCAGTGCGTGGCGGGTTGTGAAGTCGGTGCCCTGGTCGCAGTCCGGGATTGAGAGGCCGAGTGTGCCTCGTCTTCATGGATGTTGCTCCCGTGGGGGGGGCGATCAGAGGGGCGTCGAGGGAGTTTGGCGCGAATGCGCTCATTTTCTTCACGTAACGCTGCGAGGTCTGCTTCATTAGCTGTCCGCATTGCCGCTAGGTCGACTTCGTGCTTGGCGTGCATGTTGTGCAGGTCAGTGTCATGCTGCTGTCGCATCTGTTCGACTTGGTCGATCAATCTTCTCAAGGTTGCAGCGTCGCTGTCCATGGTAATTGAGTGATCAGCGTCGTCTGTTACTCGTCTGCTATGGCTTCTGGTGAAAACCATACAGGTGGTCGATAAGAGCTGTCGTGATCGGCCCCACGGTGGGCGCCAAATGTTCTTACCGGAAATTTGCCGTAGAGGTGATTCGCCAGGTAAGATCGGTGAGCCTCCTTCACTGGTACGCTGGTGCTCCAAGATGGGGGTGGTACCTGCAAAAGAGACTCCGATGCTAAAGTTAGGGTTTGTATGAGTAGTAGTCTTGTATATGTAATGCACGTACCTTGGTATGATTTAGGGTTGCTTTGGGCCTTGGGCCTGAGACGAAGTGTAATATGATTAGATAATGGATCTCGTCTGGGGCGAGATCCTCGGGGATCAATTATGGTTCATGTAAATACCGAGCTGACGTCACGTGGTGCGCGTCCGAGGTCGGTTTGCGTTGCGGTACCGAGCTCGGAGCTCGGTTACGCAGTATGGATAGTACACAAATAATCTTGTATCCTGATATAAACTATTTTTCTTAATATCTATACCTATTAACAAAGGGAACAAGTCTTAGTAATCACCATGTTAATTTCTATTTTTATATTGAACATTATCATCATTAAATTTAGCAAACTTTTTTCTTTCAAAACTTTTAAAAATAAATATATGAAAGTACGAAGTGCCTCTTTCTCTACTAATAAAATATAATATCTGTTAAAAATATTTATTTAAATAAATTTTAAGTTATTATTATTTACATATTAAAATATTAATATATAATAAATATTTAATCTATACACATTAAAATATTAGTGATATATACGTTTATAGTTTTCAAATTAAAAATAGTTTTAAAAAATTTAAAATAAAATTATTAAAAATAAGATACAATGTTTTCACAATCAATATAAAATGTTTTTAAAACAAACAACATATATGTTTTAATTAAAATGAAAGAAACAACTTAAATATAATTTTAATCTCAAATTTAGATATATATTTTTTGTCCCTATAATTTTTTTCTAAAAAAAATTATTCTCTTAAATTTAAAATTTATGTTTTTGGTTCTTAAAATATCAAAATTATTTTAGTCTTTCTTCATTTATTGCTATCAAATATGATATTAATAATTAAAATAATAATTTTATAAATTATAAAAATTAAAATAATATTTTTTTTATAATTTTAAAATTAAAACATAAATTTTAAATTTGATGACTTAAAAAAATTATTCCCAAATTTAGAGAAATAAAAAACACACATGATTTTTTTTTAAATTGAGTCCTTTAAAAAGTTTTATGCATATGTTTCTTAAACAAATATAACATAACATTTTATTTTATTTTTTTAAAATTAATGTCTCTTAAACTAATAAAATAAGTTATCAAGTTCTTTACTAAAAATGTGTTTTCCGTTGCCGGGACTTGAACCCGGGTCTTTCGGGTGAGAGCCGAATATCCTGACCAACTAGACTACAACGGATATTTTTTGTAATGATTGACTAAAAATTTAACTGAACTCTAATATTGGTGAGTCTGGCACACAAACATTGAAACATGGATGCTCTGAACTTTCTAATTTTTGTATACTGTGATTTCAGACAACTTCGTCTTTTAACTTTATCAATAAAACTATCCAACTTAATTACTTACTGTAATATTTCAATTTTCTTAAACAAAAATAGACCTAAACCTAGAGCTGTAAAAATGGGCTTGGCCCGGGGCTCACCACGGGTTCGAGCCGGGTTGGTTTGAAAAAAATTTAAAAATTTTAATACGGGTCAAATTTGAACTCGGCTCACTAACAACCCGACTCACTCGGGTTGAACCCGTGGTGAGCCAGGCTGGCCCACCAACCCGTGATTAATTTTTTTTTTAAATACAATAATTATTGAGTCATGGTGCAGTCCAACATGAGACAATAATGATTTAATGTTGGATTGTGATTTGTAATTTTTATGATTTTGGATTGTATTTGAAGTTTAAGATGATTTTGGATTATATTTGAAGTTTAAGATGATTTTGGATTATATTTATCTATTTGAGATTATTTAGATTTGATTTGATTTGATTGTATTTAAAATTATCATTTAATGTTTGGGATGAATGATTCATTTATAATTGTCTTAATTAAGAATCTCAGATTTTTAAAATAAGTTTAAATTTTGGGCTTTAGTTGTATATTAAGAAAAAAAAATGAAAAAAATTATTTTTTTTTAAAGGTAAGCCAACCCATTTAACTTACCAACCCGTGGTGGGTCAGGCCGGGTTCGATTTTTTTAAGCTCACTAATAAAAGAGTCGGGTTGGGTTGGCCCACCAACTAGCCAACCCGTAGTGAGCCAGGCCGGGCCGGGCCAGGTAGCCCGTTTTGACAGCTTTACCTAAACCAAGTTTTTAGAATTAATTATTTGTAAAAGGCTCAAAAGGAGTAGAGAAGAGTCATACATGCTGATAAGCAAATTCGTAATTGATCTTAAATTGAAACACTGCATTTTTTATTTACATTGTTTATATTAGAATTAATGTAGATATAACGACAATATAGATATAACGATGTTAAATAGTATTTTTCTTTCTTGGCATATTAAATTTTTACATTTTTTTTATATAAAAATTCGTTTTGTACATAACTAATACTTGTGTAGAATCTATAGTCCATAGCACATAAATTAATCATTAAATATTTAAACGTCAAGTTTGGATAAGTATCAAGTTAATTTCCTGAAACTTTCCTGCACCTATTTAATATTAATTTATAACCATGTCAAAATTAGAAAGTACGTATTATTCATTGTATAGTGCGTTTTCTTTTATATCTCTCTTTCCATACAATTTTTCTATGCATATTTTTATATTCCTCTTTTTATCCACATTTTCTTATTAACACTATTATTTTATTAAATTATATAAAACAATTACAAAGAGTATTTTAAAATAAAGCTATTTATAATTGATTTAAATAATTTATTATTAAGCATAGAATTATTGTTTGTTGTTAAATATATAATAAAATATATATTATATGCTTTTAATGGTTTATTAACATTACTACTATTACCACAATTACTTATATAAATATTATTACAATCTCACAAATATTATAAAATATAGTTACAAAATGTTGTTTCTGTAAAAAAAAAAAAAAAAATAGTATAGTATAGGATTATAATAAACTTAAGTCGTAATTAAATTTAAAAGAACATAACATATAAATGAAAAATTATTTTAAAGTCTCTGGATATATATTTGCCAATTATTATATAAAACTAAGGAAAATATAGTACAGACATTATCGTACCTGTGTGTCACGTTCTTATTGTGCTAAATTTATACATTATAGCAATTTATCTTGTTATAGTTGATATATATATATATATATATATATATAATAAATACATACACTAAGTTAATTTCTAAAATGTGTAATGCACTGTTTTAATTTATTTATCTGCATATTCTGACAAAAAAATTTCATAAGGCAATGAAATAATATTTAAAATGGGAGATGCAAAAATAAGAAATTAGTAACTCATAAAAAAAGAAAAGACACAAAGAGAAAGAGGTAACAATTAGAAAATAGGAGAGAACTAATCGGTGGAAAACGAACTGATATATATATATATATATTATTTATTTTTTGCAACATGTCTATTTATAATTTTTTTATGTTGTATAAAGGTATTATAAAAAGATAAAAGTCTCACATCAATTAGTATTATTTTTGAAGAATTGTTTATAAATTAAATTGTAATATATCAGGCTAAACGATTATTTTAGAGCACTTTTACAAACTATTTACCAAAATGGGGTTGTTTTAAAACATATTACACCTTTGGGGCTGTTTTCTACGGTGTCGCTATGGCCCATAGCGACACCTATGACACGTAGCAATTTTGTAACTCCAGCGAAGCCATGAAAACTATATTGATAATATCGCTACAGCCTATAGCGACACAAAAAAGCTCCACTGAAATCGCTATAGCCTACAGCGTCAAATATTTAATATAAAAAAATAATTTTATTATAAGTAAATAATTTTTAAAAAAATAATGTGAAAATAGCGCTATGGCCTATAGCGACACTGTGTTGCTATGGGCCATAGCGCCACCCAGTTAAAAATTAAAAATGATAAAAAGAGAAAAAAAAGTATATATAAGATAAAGAAAAAAATAGAAAAGATAATTATATAAATATAGATTTATATGAAAATCAGAAAATAAATTAAAATCTGGAAAAAATTAATTAAGTTAATAATTTAAAAAAATAAAAAATAAAATTTTTAAAAGAAGTGGTAGTGTCCATAGCGACACTGCTTTTAATTTTTTTTCATTTTTTTTAATTACGCATTTTTCGTTTAATATTTTTTAATTAACATATAAAGAAATTATTAAATATTTAAATACATATTTAATTCGTAATATAAATATTTAAAGGAAAAATATATATAAAGTAAACAAATTATAAAAAAAAATAAGTTTATAAATAGAAATTAATATTTAATTGATTATATAAAAGAAATTATTTTTAAAATTAATTTAGTTAATATTTAAAATATAAAAAATAAAAAAATAAAAAAAAAAAACTACAAACATAGTGGTGTGCATAGTGACACCACTTTTTGATTTTTATTTTTATTTTTTTAATTACGTTTTTTAAAAGAAAAAAATATATTACGTTTAATTACGTTTTTGTGGCCCAGTTTATTTTAAATTTTAATTATATTATATTAAACGAATTATATATAAATACTGAAAATGCAAGGCGTTATGGTCCATAGCGACACAGTGTCGCCATGGGCCATAGCGCCTCTCTTAAAAATTACATAAAAATTTATTTTATAATTACATTTTTAAAAAACTTAATTTTATTTTTATAAATATATAATAAATAACTCAGTTTATTATTTTTATTTTACATTTCTATTATTTTCATTTTTTTCTTTTTTTTTCTTGGAGGGTGTCGTTATGGGCTACATCATTTTTGTTAGTCCATCAACTATGTTGCCCCAGCCTTTAGCGACACTGATGTGGCTCATTCCAGCCCACCCTAGACCAAAAAAAAAATTGTCACGTGTCATAGGTGTCGCTATGGGCCATAGCGACACCGTAAAAAATAGCCCCAAAGGTGTAATATGTTTTAAAATAACCCTATTTTGGTAAATAGTTT